TCTGGGAGGCCGAGGCGGGTGGATGGCTCAAGGTCAGGAGTTCAAAACCAACCTGAGCAAGAGCGAGACCCCCGTCTCTACTATAAATAGAAAGAAATTAATTGGCCAACTAATACATATAGAAAAAATTAGCCGGGCATGGTGGTGCATGCCTGTAGTCCCAGCTACTCGGGAGGCTGAGGCAGTAGGATTGCTTGAGCCCAGGAGTTTGAGGTTGCTGTGAGCTAGGCTGATGCCACGGCACTCGCTCTAGCGCACCAGAGCGAAACTGTCTCAAAAAAAAAAAAAAAAAAAAAAAAGATGGCATCTGGCCCAGAAGAAGAACTAGAAGGAGAGGTTCTCTGGACCAAACAGATGCTCACGAGAGTCCCTTTGGCACTGACATTTAGCTAGGGTTTTAAGGAGCTGGGGTGGAGGAGGACGGGGAAGGAAGGACTAATTCAAAGAGACAGGTGTTGTGCAGGGCTGAGGTAGGACACCAAATGTCAGGCTTGGGGGTGGAGAGCGTCTGGAGGAGTAGGATGTCTAGACCCCCTGCCATTATCAGAGAGAAAGGAAATGGATGCGGCTGACTTACAATGACAGGATGACAGCAGTGACATTATGAGGAAAGAATCAGAAAAGTGCAAAGCCCATATTTAGAAAATGGGAACTGTCTTTTCACCGTCAAATTCTCCCTGGAGAGCTCCCTCAGACAGGGCCGTGCCCCTAACCTGAAACTGAGACCTTCTAGATACACAGACCCTTCCCCTGACAATGCTTCCTCTTTTGAGGGATCCCTGGGAGGCCAGGACAAGGCTCAGCCATGGTGAAGACGCCATCTCTAGGCCTTTGTCACTGTCTGGTGGGCCGATACGGCCTATCTCTGTCCTTCCCACCCGCCGCCTCCACCACCAGACTGTCGGCTCCTTGGACCACCAACTATGGCGGGAGTCGCTGAATCCTTGGCACGTAGCCTGGTGCCTGTCGGGGAAGGCAGCATGTGCCTCTTGAATGGGGGACATCCTCTCCCGGATGTCACAGAGAGGGCTGGTGTGGCCTGTGCTTCTTTCAGCATCATCAACACATAGGAGAGACATGCACAAAAAAGCGAGTCTATTCACCACACCTCGGGGTTAGTCCTTGCTGGAGACTGTGCAGGACCCACACAAGGAGAGTAGGGGGACCAGGGCAGGGGCTGGTGTGTCCCTGGGCCAGGCCAAGACCCCAGAATGGAAGTTGGACCTAAAACCAGGCAGCTGGAGACATCATAGATCCCCAGAACACAGAGAGAATCACAAAACTTCATTTTAGCCAACAGTTTTCACCTTGCCTAATGCAAATTTTTTTAAATCAGAACTGAGAAAGATGGGCTAGCTTGAAAATAGTTTTCTTGCTTCCTGGCATCCTCTGGGGAATTAGCTAAGTTGTAATGAGATGTTAAGAGCATAGATCAGGGAGGAGAGGCAACAGAAAGCTTGGATAATCTGTATTATGGTTAATACACTGCAACAGAATAGCCAAGGCATATTACTAAGGCACGTAAAATTCAATGCAAAGAGGTAAAAATCATAATGTACCAGGTAATTCAAAAGCCCACTGGCTTTGTGTCTCTTTTCACCCCTTAAGGAATGCTAGGCCTGACTGCCAGGGTAACTGGGAGGAAGGCAGCCCCAAGCCCTCAGCATAAACACAGGCTGCGATCAGTGCTTCCCATCACTAGAGATCTGCATTCTGGTGCCAGTCCAATCCTGGGAGCTGTACAGGAGGGAGGTAAGTGTGCACATGTATACACACGGGCAAAGCAAGACAAACAAGAACCCCATAAATCTAATAAGACATCAGCAGTTGTCCTGAACAAAGGTTGTTTAGAATGTGAGTTTACGATGATAATTACTAACGCATTACACAGAGTGCAAAAACTTTCCTGTTAGCACAGAATTTGTCAGACGTGTGTCACACGGAGACTGGGACAGCTGTAACGGTAAGTGACAGGTTGCTGAAAAACAGCTCATTTCCTAAGCACCTGGTCCCCTGAGTCTGTACCATAATCTTGTTTTTAAATTAACATAACAACAAACAAGCAGAGAAAGTTTCCACGGCGGAAACTGCTGGCTTGTTAAAGTTTACGGAGAGAATTTTCAATGTGTCAGTGTGCAAACATGGAAAGACTGTGGCAGTCTGCGTTGTTAGACCATACATCACAGGATAGAGGCCTGAATCTGAATCCTTTCTCTCCTGCCCACTAGCCCCCATGTTCTTGGGAAAGTGAGTTAAACTTCTCTGAGCCTCCATTTCCTTACGAAATGGAGATAATAATCTCTAAGGCAGGGGTCCTCAAACTTTTTAAACAGGGGGCCAGTTCACTGTCCCTCAGACCGTTGGAGGGCCGTTGGAGAGTGCAGCACACATTCCGCACATGCGCACTGTGGGCTCGGGACAAGTCGGCTGCTAAGCAGGACAGGCAGCGGCGGCAAAAACACTCAGCAAGCTGGATAAATGTCCTCGGCGGGCCACATGTGGCCCATGGGCCATAGTTTGAGGATGCCTGCTCTAAAGTATACAGCTGTCAGCAGAAATCGTGTGTAGCATACTTAGCACAGTGCCTAGAAAATAACAAGTGTTCAGGAAATGGTGTTAAATAGATGTGCTTGACTAAACATCATAGTTGGCTGCATAATGCAGAGGTGACTACCCATGTATTACACTTTTTAAGAAAAGAAATAGAAACATCTGACTCTGAGAAGGTGGGGAGAGAAAAGAGGTGATAATAACTGAGGTTTTCCCTGGAGACTATACCCAAGAAATTATGTTCTCCATAGAAGAATGGCTTTGGAAAAAAACAAATTGCTTGTCCTTATTTTATATGCCACCAGAACTGGTTTCTTTTCTTCCAGGTAGGAAGTTGCGGGGAAATCTACTCATATTTGAAGGCCTCTGGGGAGCCCATGAAATGGAGCTCATTTTCTAACTGTCCACTCTTAGCGAATTCTCTGTAATGGATGTAATGAGGTCTTTAGATTGACAAAGTGTCTCATCTGCCCGTAGGAGAAGGAAATCACATCCTGTCCTGGGTACGGTGCATCTGGTTGTTTACCGGGTGCCCCAAGGCTGACAAAACCCCAGCAAGCACATCCTAAGAAACAGCTGCAGTTACAGTTAAAACAGTTTTAGAAGAGCAAAGGTCTTAAATCCTTTTCTGTGCCATGAGAAAGCACCTCAAGTTCTAATTAAGCTGAAGCAATTAGCCCCCCACAGATCCTTAAGGCTGCTTCCCATGGCCAGGCAATCATCTCTATTAAAACCCATTTTAAAATAAGGAGCAAACCCAAAAGCTCCACTGGCACATGCTTCTCACAAATCAATTACCCCCTTGGACACGTCCTGTAAATACTCTCAGGCAAGCTCTGCCTGCAGAGAGGGCTTTTAGGAAAGGGCTGCATCAGACATGATGAGATAGCTGTGTAAAAGGAGGTGGGAAGCAGCACATGTGACAACCTGGGGCAACAGAGTCCACTCGCAAAGTGGGATGCTGGATCTGGGGTCAGTTTGACAAAGCAAGGCAAGATGAAACCTCAGGTGTCCCTGGGCTGGTGTCACAATTAATTCATCAACTCACGCTGGAGGAACAAGTCAAGCAAAAAGGTTTCTGCCTGTGGAACCAGAGCCCAAGAGTCCTCCAGAGTAACCAGACCACTGTCCAAACTGAGACTTCACCAGAGGACTGTTCTCTCCCACATCAATCTGTCACTGAAGTGCCAACAGGGTACACTTGGCAGTTTCGCAATGAATCGAAGCCACATAAGCGCATTTACTTTCTCCCTCGCCCTCCCCCCAGTTAGGTTCACTCCTACCTAAGACTCCCTCTCATTCTCATTTGCAGCCAAAACTGGTTTCTAGACTCAGCAATGGGAATAGCTACACAGAGGTTAATGGATAAATGATTCAGATTTAGGTATCTTCCTCAAGAACTAGTGTTGTTTTTCAATGCAGCCAAGTTACTCCAATAACCTATTATTTCTCAACCCAATAACAGCCTTTTTTTCTCTGTGTGTGGTTTTTTCTTTTTCTTTTTTTTTGAGTAGGAAAATTTCTCAACTATCAAGCAGACATCAGAAATGTTGATCTAGACTAGCACTATCCAATAAAAATAAGATTTAAAATTTTCCTAGGGGCCACATTGAAAAGAAAAAAAATGATTAAATTATAATGTTTTTTTAACCCAATATATCTAAAATATTATTATTTTGACATATAGCCAATATAAAAGATAATTAATGAGGTGTTTTACATTCATTTTTCATACATTCTTGTTCTTCTATGATATTGGGCTGTACAGATCTAGAGCTATGTTTAAATCTACCTAATTTAGCATGATGACTATAGCTACCAATAGTGTAATGTATATAGGAAATTTACTAAAAGAGTAGATTTCAAGTGCTCTCACCAAAAAAAGGTGACTATATGAAGAGATGGATATGTTAATTTGCTTCACTGTAATCATCTCACTATGTATATGTACAGTATATCAAAATGTCACATTATACACCTTAAATATATACAATTTTTATCAAAAAGAAAAAAAAATCCAGACATGGAAAGACTTCCATACTTCACTGTTTTATGAACAGTTTAACAGATTGTATGTGTAGCATGATCTCATTTTAACTTTATAAAAATCTGTATCTGTGTATTCAGATATGCATAGAAAACAGCCTTGTACGAGAAGACAACAAAAGTAATAGCAGTTATCTCTGAGATATAGAATTATGGACAGTCTTTATTTTCTACTTTGTATTCTTTTGTATTTTCTCAATTTTTTTTTTTTTTTTGCAGTGAGCATATACTACTTTATTAGAATAACTGTAAACCTAGTCTTCAAAAAAAATGTTGTCCCTTCTTTTAAGTTATTATACCCCTGATCCTGCGGGCACAGTAGCCATTGCCCTATTTCCAGCTAGCAGAAGAGATGGCCAAACAGTATGTCCCTACCTCCCCTGTCCCAGCAGTGTCATACTTACAGCCAATCATCATGATCGCCACCGCAAAGATCTTCTCGATGTCTGTGGATGGGGCAATATTCCCAAAGCCCACACTGGTGAGGCTGGTCATGGTGAAATACAATGAGGAGATGTAGACAGAATTCTTGCTGGGACCTCCTTCCCACTTCCCTGAGCCAGACCCATTAAATTGGTAAGGGGTGCCAATGTCCATCGCCAGTTGGTAGAGCCAGCTGTTGTTGCGGATCGTCTTAGTGTCCTCGTCGAAGATCTCATAGTCCCCGATGCTGTACCAGATGCAGGCCATCCAGTGCGCAGCCAGCCCGAACACACAGACCAGCAGGACCAGCACAGCAGCTCCGTATTCAATGTAGTGGTCCAGCTTTCGGGCCACTCGCCCAAGACGGAGCAGCCGGACAACTTTCAGAGAACTGAACAAGCTGCTGATGCCCTATGAGAGAGGAACATGGCGTCAAAGAACCAAAAGAACCAAAGATATTACTCCTTGCCCTCCTCCCCGCCTGGACCATTACTTAAAGCATAGTGTATTTCTGTGAGATGCAATATTATACAACGCTTAAAAAAATAAAATTAGAATTTTATTCCAAGATGTGTGGAATGGAGATTTCCACTACCTTTTTCCTACGTCCATTGAAAAGCAAATAAATAAGCAAACAAACAAAACAAATAGAATTATATTTTGCATAAGTAAACAAATATATGAGCACCTTTCCATGTCATAACTTACTTTAAAACAACTTTTAAGGGTTGCATATTTTGTATTGCATAATATTGCATAATATTTTATTATAGTTATATTGTACATAAGTATGCAAATATATATGTGTTGGAAAATGGTTAGGAAACACACCAAAACATTAACAGTGGTTACTGCTGTATTATCAAGTTATGAAATTATAGGAAAATTTTTACTATATTTGTATATATTTTATATATTTATATAGTTACTTAATTTCTGTAATTATGATTATTACTTTTATAATTTAGAAAAACAAATACCCCCAAAAAGCTAAAAATGAATTAAAGAAATAGCTGAGAAGAATAAAGAAATAAGATTCTATTTTCTTAGGAAAGTTATAAATTCTGGAAAGGCTACATCCCTGTCAGGCCAGGGATCATACAATCAGACAACCATCTATTAATACTTAACACAATCAATCAAGGAACCTGAGAGCTAAAAGGAACCTCCTGATTTCATCTGGTCAAGACTCTACCCTCTGTGTCCACTGATCTACCCAGCCAGGCCTATTCTCCAAACGGTTGTTCTGTAGGGAATAGCATCATGGTATAAAAAGAATCCCAGAGTAGAAATCTGGACAATGAGGTCTGAGACCCACACTAACCACTAACTTGCTGCAAATTTGGATAATTCAGTTACCTCTGGATTTCCTTCTCTAGACAACGAGGGTGGTGGATTGAGGAACTCTAAATTTTCTCCACATGCTAACATACTCTTATCGGCAAAGAGAACTAAAACATATTAGAGAAGTCGTGCTGTTTCAACCCCTAAATACTCCTATTCTAAGACAATTGCAAGATTATATGCAAGGGAAATCGCCATTAGCTTTTTACTACTTCCATTAAAAAGCAAATAAACAAGCAAACAAAACAGAGACATTTCTTTGAATCAAGACCTTGTCCTCCCTTATATAGCAAAAATCCAAGGAAGGAAGATGTGTCCTTCATCAAGCAGACTGAATGGTTTTTCACTATCTAAACACCACACAGTTTCTAGGTCACTGCTATTCTCCCTTGTCCACTGTCCTCTTAAATACAACCACCCAAGGGTCAAGTTATGTCACAGACAGAATGGAAATGTATAAATGCTCTCTGATAAGCCTTTATCAGAGACTCAACCGAGACTGTTTCCTCTTCTTTGATATGCAGCTAAACTATATTTTCCCATCTCCTTCCATGTGGGTGGGTCCCTGGGACTAGTTTTCACCAGTGGTGGAGCGTGAGGTGAAACGTGTGTCACTTCCAGGCCATTGCAGTTAAAATAAGTGTGCTTTCTCCACATGCTTTCTCCTCCCCTGAAATGCCTTTCAGATGAGGCTAGTTAGATCTTGAGGCCATGTATTAAAGATAGTGGACCCACCGCATGAAAGGAGCCTGAGTCCCAGTAGGACTACATGGAACACCGCTTACCCCCAGTCAACACGAATTGTATTGTGACATAAATGAGAAAGAAACCTCTGAAAGAAGCCACTGAAACCTTGGGGGACATTCATCACAGTATGCAGCATTAGCCTACCCTGAAAACCACAGAGCCCTTCTGAACACCTACACGGTACGTGGCATAGCCTTGGCAATACAGACCAGAAATCAAGTTGTCACACAAATTATCTTTGTTGAGGTGAGAGTGGGACAGAAGAGAGATGTATGGCCCATTAAAAAACAAAACAACAGTTTCATAGCCATAAAACTTACAACAGAAATGGTCATTTCTTGTCCAACATACACAAGCGAATGGCTGGATGCAAGAATAATAAAGGATTTCTCTAGACCAAGGGACTACATTGCCAGGGTCAGTCTCATCCAACTGTTAACTTTGACATAGTTTACTGTTGGTATATCCAATATTCCTCCCCTGGGTCTCCTTTTCCCTCTCTGTGCTTTTCCATAAAACCTGCTATGCAGAAAGGGCTAAGAAAATCCTCATATTAAGGGGCAAAAAGCTAATGAGGGTAAATGGATATCCTCTCTCCACAGGGCACTTACATTCTGGCAGAGGAGAAGACCTTGGGAAAACAACTTCCCATAGTGGAAGAATTGAAAGCACCTACAGCCTGCATGAAGGAGATATTTTAGGAGGCAAAGGAGCCTTTTTGATGACTCAGAAATCACACATCATGCAAGCAGCCACCTCCTCTCCACCTCCTCAGGAGGAGGTCCCTGAAATCATTTTTCAAAGCAGTTCTACTCTGAAGTTCTACTTACTTCCTTGGGCAAAAGTGTCTTGTCATTTTCCCTCACTCAATCCATACTCATTTTCCCATACTCCATCCAAAGCAACATGTATGGAGAGCCTACTATGTACTCCTTGTGCTAGTGCCATGCACAAGAAGAAATTAAAGCGACACTTCGCCTCCTTGTTCACTATTGTATCTCCAGTGCCTGGAATATGGAAGGTGTGCAATGGGAAGAAAGGAAGGAGGAATTAAAAGCATAATAACTAGTGAGAGAGACAAGATATGATCAGCGAAAAGATCAGGGGTCCTCAAACTTTTTAAACGGGGGGCCATTTCACTGTCCCTCAGACCGTTGGAGGGCTGGACTAGAGTTTTAAAAAAAACTATGAACAAATTCCTATGCACACTGCACATATCTTATTTTGAAGTAAAAAAACAAATGGACAAAAACACCCGCATGTGGCCCGCGGGCCGTAGTTTGAGGACGCCTGGAAAGACATTTCTACCTAATAACTGCTGAATTAGAGAGCTAAGAAGAAATGTAGCATTCATCTAGTCCTTTGCATCCACTGAAGTACAGAGAAAAAAAAATTCAGCTAGTCTAACTCTTCTGAGTTCAGCAATGTCCACTAGAGCTCCCTTGGGGAATGGTCATCCAGCCTATCCTTGACCATTCCCCTTGACCATTTCTACATTCTACCTCTGAGGCTCCATTGTGTGGCAGTCATTCATGGAAAGAAACAATGGGGAGAACAATGGGGATCCCGTCACCTTCCTATCTCCTTCTCACTTCATCTCTCCTCCCTTCTCCATCCCTTCCCAGTGGCCACCACAATACATGCAATCACTACCCAAAGGCCGTGCAATCCGCTAGCCATACACTCTACATGTCTCACACATCCCACATAGTAGGTGCACAATTATAACACTGTGCCTACTTGGACTGGTCCCTCAATCAAGAATGCCCAGCATTTCTGTTCTGTGTACTCGTCATTCTTCAGACTTGTCAGCACCTACACCCTGAAGCCTTTCATGACTGCCTGGTAGTCACAACCAGGCACTGACTCTTCCACATGTAGACAGTATTCAGTGCCCATTACCACTTGAACACATTGCCTTGCATTAGTTTCCTCTACCATTCCCAACTGTACCAGGGAACTATATCTTCCTGAAGGCAGAAGCCATTTGTTATCCATTCTAGAAGCCCCATGTATTGGGTTCAATAGGGTCCCCCCACCAAATTCCATGTCCTTTTCCAAACCTCAAAATGTGAGCTCATTTGGAAATAGGTTCATTGCAAGTATAGTAGTACTGGAATAGGGGAGACCTTTAATCCACTATGACTGATGTCCTTATAAGAAGAGAAAAGATGGGCACAGAGGGAGAATATCATGTAACAGATGCAGATTCAGAGATCAGAGTGATGCATTTTCAAGACAAGGAATGCCAAGGATTGCCAGCACCACCAGAGGCTAAGAGAAAGGCGTGCGATACATTCTCTCTATAGCCTGCCAATACCTTGAATTTGGGTTTCTAGCCTCTAGAACTGTGAGAAAATAAATTTCTGCTGTATTAATCCACCCAGTTTGTGGTAGCACGTTACACCAGCCCTAGGAATCTGATACCCCCACGCAAGGTCTAGAGCACAGTGCTCTTTCAGAAAGGGTCTTGAACATTTTCTAAACTAAATTGAAGAGTCTGAATTATTAGAGAAATCTTACTCATTTTAAGGAACCTCTGGAACAATATAAAACAAGCATTTCTTCATTGTGTTATTTATCTATGTTTACAGAGATACTCTATTACATAGTTGTGTAAGTTATCTTTTATCACATTAACAGCTGGAATTCTAGATGTTTAAAAGCATTTCAAGCTATTAATTTGAAATTTTTTTTCTGACTTGCCTGAAGTTCAGTAGAATGAGATAAATAAAACAGAATACTCCAAACATTAAAAAAATTAGAACACTAACAACTTAATAGCACCATATGGTAGAGAATCACATTTCCCCCAGAGACTTCTTGCATCAGAAAACTACATCGCCCCTAAACTGCCACAAACTGTGCATGCCCACCAGGAAGCAAGTGGAGCGACTTCGCCTGGCATGCACCGTCACAGAGCTTGAGAATCAGCCTGCCAGGAAGCCCCTACCCCAGCAAAGCTGTGCCACTGTCTGCACTAACAACTGCGATCTAAGCCACTGAGGCACTCATTGTCAGATGCTGCTGACAATGACTGCAGCCAAAAAATCACCTGGAGACTACACTACTGCACCTGCCCAGAACAAAAGCCAAAGTTCCCTACCCAACTGACACTATAGCACATACCTATAGAAAAGAATCCTTCCCTATGTAAGCCACTGGAAGAGGTGACAGTTCCACCAAATGTGCAGATATCAATGTAGGAACACATGAAACATGAAAAGCAAGGCAACATGACTCCTCCAAAGAAACACAATAACTCTGCAGTAACAGACCCCCAGAAAATGAAATCTATGAAATGACTAAAAAGGAATTCAAAATAATGAACTTAAAGAAACAAAGGAAAAAAAGACATTCTATAATAAAGACATCTGCACACAAATGCTTATGGTAGCACAATTCACAATTGCAAGGATGTGGAGGCAACCCAAGAGCTCATCATTACATGAGTGGATTAATAAAATGTGGTATATGCATACCATGGAATACTACTCAACTACAGAAAACAATGGTGATCTACCACCTCTTATATTAACCTGGATAGAGATTGAGCCCATCCTTGGAAGTGAAGTATCACAAGGAGGGAAAAATATGCACCACATGTACTCGCCATCAAACTGGTACTAAGCAAGACTAAGGTGTTCAAATGGTAGTAATACGTATTGGGTGCCGGTCAGGGGTGGGTTGGGGAGTAAACCCACACTAATGGAAGCAGAAGACATTGTATGGGGGAGGGACATGCTGGTAGCCCTGGCTTGGGTGGTGCAAATGCATTACATGTAACTAAAATGTTTGTACCCTCATAATACCCTGAATTAAAAAAAAAGATTAAAAAAAATAGTGAGATACAAGAAAATACAGACAAACAATTCAATAAAAATCAGAAAAGCAAGCCATGACCTACTGAATGAGAAATTCAACAGAAATAAATAAAAAAGAACTAAACAGAAATCTTGAAGCTGAAGAATTCAATGAATAAAATTGAAAATACAATTGATAATGTCAACAACAGACTAATGAGAAGAAATAATTTCAGAACTTGAAGAAAGGTCATTTGAAATAACCCAGTAAGACAAAAGAAAAATATAACACAACCCTACTTAGAACCACTTAGAACTACTTAGACATCATCTCCTACTTTCTAACGGGTAAAATTACTTTAGTTTAGCAAACAGGCCCTTTGTAATTTGGCCCTGGGCAGCCCCATCTCTCACTACTTCCCTCCCAGGCCTCCTCTGCTTTAGTGATAACAGGTTATTTGTGGTTCCACTACCACACTATGCCCTCGTCATGCCTTCACTCAGGCCATTCTTTCTACCATGTTTCCCCAAAATTAAGACCTACCCATAAAATAAGCCCTAGCAGGATTTCTAAGCATTTGCGCAATATAAGCCCTAACCCGAAAATAAGACCTAGTGATGGGCGTGGCTACGCAGTGTATCTGCACAACCCATGCATTTCTCTTCTTGGAGCAAGAAGGCGAGCAGCCCTGAAGAAGAAGGCAGTATCTGCGCCATAGTGACAGCTACTGTCCCAGAGGTGACCAGAAGGTTCGGGCAGCCCCACCAACAAGGTCAGCTCCCCCTTTCAGGTCCCGGCCACCCTGTGCGTGCTGCAAGCTGAGGCTTTGAGGGGAAAATAACACATCCCCTGAAAATAAGCCCTAGGGTGTCTTCTTGAGGAAAAATAAATATAAGACTCTGTCTTATTTTCAGGGAAACACGGTATCTCAAATACTGTCCCCCTGGTTGTCTGTCTGGAACACTCATCCTCAAATACATTTTTCAATACTCCAGTAGCAAGATCAGTCACAACATCTTGATTACTAAAAACTATCACTGTATAAAGTATGAAAGTAGTCTACTTTTTAAAATAAATATTGGAGGGATTTGACCTTATTCCCAAAATAATATCACTCTCACTTGAATTCTAATTTGTTCTCTTGACCTATAGAGAAATGAGTACATCTATGGTAGCATCTTAGAAACTGACAATCAGATATCAAACACAAGAATATAACCCTCTGCATATGTCTTAATGAAAGAAACATTGAGAACTGCTGGCCTAAGACACAACAGAAACAGTCACCTCTCTGTGACAACTCCCTGGATACACATAGGCAGAGCTCGACCTGTCCTCCCCTCTGGACTCTTAGGAATGGTCTGTCATTCATTCTTTCAACAAATTCTCCTTCGGCACCTAACATGAGGCACGTGTAGTTTCAAGCACTGATGGTAGATCAGTGACAAACTAGACCAAAATATTTGCCCTTCTGGGACTTTCATTTGATTGGGGGCGGGGGGAGACAGACAATAAACAGAATAAATAAGTAAATGCTATTTTATATGATGATAAGATGAAAAATTAGGCAGGAAATGAAAATAAGAGGTGGCAGGAAGAAGGGTGATGGTGTTCTATAAGGTTGTGAAGGAGAACTCCACTGAGATATCAGCATTTAAGTAAAAATGGAGATGAGTGTGCACGCCACGTGAGTATTTGAGTGAAGCACATTCCAACAGAAGGATCAGCAAGTGCAAAACTCCTGAGGCAGGAATGGCATTTGTCACGCTTTATATTAGGCTGCCAGGCCCTTGAGGTCAGGAAGCACACCTCCAATGAGAGTAATGATTAACATTTACTGAATGCTTCCGAAGTGCCAGGCAGCAGTAACCATTTTACATGCGTTAGCTCACTCCTCATAGGCTTCTGGGGTTAAGTATATGATATACCTAACTTACAGTGGCAGAAACTGATACACGGTATTTTTTTTAATTCACTGCTGATTTTATTCCAACTAAATAAAGCAGCGCACAAGTCATCTGGGTGATACGCTTAACTCAAGGGACAAAAGTCAAGAAACAAGCATTCTCCATCACTACCCATGGCTGCCTTCTACATCTCCTCTCAGAAAATGTGGGTCAACAAACCCCAGGCAAAGAAACATGGGAAAAGAGAAAAAGGGGAAGTGCAATTTATCTAGTGTGCCAGGGAAGGTGGTGTCTCCATCTTCTTTTCTGTAAACTGTTCCACCAGCATGGTTCATCCCGGATGATTTTAATATCATGACCATCTTCCCTGATTTTCATGCACAGAGCACATTCATTGGGATAAGCGGACATGTCGCTGCCACACACACAGGGTTAAAGTCCCTGGGACACCCTGGTAATTTATACTGAGCACAGTTTGGTGTTCTATATTCTGAACACTGACCAAATTCAGAGTCCAAAGAGGCTGCAAACACCTCGGCCAGGAGCAACAGCACTAAGTGCAGTGCCACCAGTGCCATCCTTGTCACAGCCGGCCATGTGGATACAGCGCATCCCATGCTGGCGTGACAAACAAGGGGCACTCCAGGCTGGGGTATCAAGGGGCAACTCACCCAGGGTGGGGTGGGAGTGGGGTGGTGGAGGGAGGGTGGGCAGGGGGAGGTGGCAGGAAGAGGAGCGAGGAAGGGTCAGGGGGAAGAACCAGGAAGGGCAGGGAAGGAGACAGGTGGTAGGAGGAGGGGGGAGGGGGAAGGGGGCCATGGGACAGAAGCCGGGAGGGAAAGCAGAGGAGGGTGGGTGGTTGCTACCTCACTTGATACACAGTATTATCTGTCCAGTCTGGCACAGGTAAAAAAAACGGCAGAGCTAGATTCCAACCCAGATCAACTGACTTCCAAGAGTATGTTCTTAACCCTTTGCCCTGCAGACAGCACCTTTCATTCCCCATCTCTAGAGTTCTAGCTCCCTGCAGATGCTCAATGTTTGTTCATGGAAACCTCAAGGAGGTTTGCAAGGAGAAGTTCTGACAGTAGTATATCTCATGGTCTGTTACAAGGATTTACTACATTATTAACAGAGCTCAGCTTGTTTGTTGTCTTTACAACAGAGATGACGTTAAGAATAAATGTTCCGTGATGATCCCACCGCTCCGAGAACGGCGAAGCCATTTCAACTGCATAATGGAATAAATTGGCTTACTAGATTTTATTGGAAGTTACTCACTGAAGCTTAAATATAATTTGCTTCCTATCCATCGCTTCAACATTTTACTTTAGGCTTGTTTAATTTGATTTGGTAATCATTTCCTGAAAACGAAGGACAGGAAGACACAGGCAAGAGCTACCGGTGATACAAAAACAAAAAGGATACAATTCCCTGCCCTCAGGTTGCCTACCATCAGCACGGAGGAAGCACAGCCTGCAAACGGCAATGCAATGGCAAACACAAGTTAGCTGCCACTGTGAGGACTGAAGCAGCCCAAGTCCTGTGGCTGTGCATACACAGAACTTTCTTCTAGTTCATTTAACAGGTCTGTTGGCCATATTCAGGGGAAGGATGTGGTTACTAAGAGGAGCTTTTAACCAAAAATGGGCTAGCTTGCAGACTTCCATTTGTTTAATCCAATAATGCGTCCAGAAGGTACATCTGCAATCTCCAAGGAAAACAATCATTGAAGGAAGTTTAGAAATATTGTTTAAAATCATCCACTTCCTTTTTGTTTACAATTCAAACCATGAAATAAACTGTGTATTCAGTTGTGATATTATACATCAGGCTCTTTTTCCTTCTAGAGGCCTTGAAAATTGAAATCTTTATCACTGGCCAAATAAAACCTGACGGATACAGAATACAGAATCTGGTTTTATCAAGGCATCTCTCCATCTTCTCAGAATGCTAATCTCAGGTTTTCTTCTTCCGAGAAGTGAAATGAATCTAAATAGCTTAGAATGTAATTTCTCTTATTCTGGAAGAAGCAATAAAATCCTGTTGTGTCCTACAGCTCTGACATTGATGTAGAATTAGCCCTGTCCTTAATTTGCTTTAGGATAATTTGATTTAAATTTTCAGAGGTGACAATATGTCAGGGTCTGGCGGGGGTGAAAACCCCAATAACTTTCATAAGGGTTGTGTCTATAGGCATTTTCGACACCAGCCTCAGTATTGGCCCACTCACCACTTCCCTGGCCAGAGTTCTTGACACAGAACAGCACCAGCATTAGGGAAGCATCACCTTGACTAATAAGATTCAAAGAAGCTTGGGCCTCCTGACCACATGTGCTGACACTATCTAGTTAATGCAGAGGAGAGATGCAGATAATTCCCTATTAATCTAATTTGGCCTTAAAAGAACACACACTCTGTCCCCAAACATAATCCACTTCAGTCTCATCCTTACCCAAGACCAAGATTCAAGTAAGAAGGTGGAAGCCACTCAAATGGGTACCCTCCTGATAAGTTCCAGGAATTTGCAATATGGCCTGAGGCCTCCACTGGGGACAGCAGGGAGGCTCAAGAAGCTGGTTTAGATGTGCAGAATGTTCCCTGGAATTTGGGGAGCCTGGTATGGTGAAGTGCAGGTGAGCAGCCCAAACACCTGGGTGGTAGCTGTGAAAACTGGGAAGGGTGCTAAGTATTCCCAATGTTCAGGGACTAGCTTGCCCGTGTTGGGCAAATCAAAGCTGGGGGAAGGGGGAGCACCCTTAGGAAAAGAGCTTGGCAAGCCACTGGGCACACTCCTGAGGGACCACAGGGAAATCAAAGCAGGGTCCCACGGAGAATGCCATGAGGGTGAACTTGATCCCATGACACTTCTGAAAGGGACAAGGAGTAACAGAAGATTCTCAGGAAGACAGCATGATCCTAACTCAGGGATTTCTAGGTTTAAGGTAATAAGGGCCTCCTTCCAGCTGGGAGGATGATCAGCATTTTACCTTTGATATTGCTCATGGTTTGTCCAGCTTCACAAATAGATTTAAAGCCCTTGAGGGCCATTCCTCCTTGCAGCTCAACAGAGAGTGGTGTGGGACTACTAATCACTCTAGACTCTCTCATTCTGGGAAGCAGCTGACACACACGGAGCTCCACTGTCCTGCCATCGGGCCCGCTGTGGATAAATCTCTGTAGGAATGTTCTAAAGAAAATTATGGCTCCTTTAAGAGGTTTCCAGTAAGTATATAGTTCCAAAGTTTCTGGAAGCAGGCAGAAGGAAGGATAGTCATCATTCTGTGTGGATTAAACTAATCCATAACTACAACTTTGGGGAATAAGAGAAGCCACAGAAAAAAGAAATTGAATTCTTGTAAAAAAAAAAAAAAGGCCACTATGAGGAGTCTCATGCACATACCATATCACATGTGGGATTCGATCTAAACGCAGGGCACAACCTTGGGCCTGGTGCTCAGCATGCCCTGGTGCTCGGGCATGCTCTTACCAGCTCTGTGACCACAGTAGGTCACCCAACCTCTCGGAGCTTCATTTCTTCACCTGCAAAGTGGAATAAATGCATGTGTACCGTGCTGATGCTCACAAAAGTCTTGGTTGTTGGTACACGAGGCTGGCCACTTTGCTGTCTTCCAGCTACGAAAATTGGGCCAAAAAAGAAGAGAGAGTCAAAAAAGGGAGAAACCATCTCCCCTCAGTGAAAAGAAAAGAAAGGATCTAAAATATCAGAAAGAAGTCACCTCTAGAGGGTTAATAAAGAGGGAAAATAATGCCCCCTCTCTGAAAAGTTGCAAACAAGCAGTCTTGCATATTCAACAGAAACAGCTGCAAGAGCTGAAGGAAAGTGGGCGAGGATCCTGGACTTGTGCTGTGGGGGCTACGTAAAAGTCAGTTTCACCTAATAAGCATATGAAGAAAACAAGGACATCTGAAATAATGAAAATCTACAGAATATAATTTATAGCTAGGCATTTGTATTTCTAAACTTGCTTTAAAAGATCTAGCACTTCTTTGACTATATTGATTAGAAATTACTAAAATAACAAACAGGCCACTTACAAGTTTATTTTAGTAGAGAAATTGTATATAGACCCCAACCTGTCAACCCAATCCTGCTAAGTGACGGCAAATAACAACAACAATTTATTAAGTACTTGCGATATTCCCATTGGTCCTAACTCTTAGTCTTACAGGCATTAACTCACTTAATTCTCATAATTATCATATAGGACAAATACTATAATTCTCTCTATTTTATATTAATGTATAGATTTTTTTATGAATTAACTGTTGGACGAGCAGCCATGAAAGATGAGTTCTGTGTTGATTACAAATAGACTTTAAAAACAAGCAATGAAATCAGTCTCCATGGCTATTCCAAAAACACAAGCCAAATCAGCCTTATTTTCTCCTATTCACTCAGAAAATCGTCTCCCCAAATCAGCCTGACTATAGTAGTAGAGAACTGAGGAGTCTCACCTTCTTTTTAAGCAGTGAGCTGATGGCATGTATACAGCAAGTAGCAGAATGGAAAAAAATAAAAAACAAAAGCAGTGGTAGAATAAAAAGATGGCGCTCCTTCTATCCCCACAGGACAAGTGCCATGAAAAAGCTTAGATTTGGTCCCTGCTGTATTTGCAGAGAGGACTCCAGGCTCTTAAAAGGTGACCTATAGGCCGGGCGCGGTGGCTCACGCCTGTAATCCTAGCACTCTGGGAGGCTGAGGTGGGAGGATTGCTTGAGGTCAGGAGTTCGAAACCAGCCTGAGCAAGAGTGAGACCCCGTCTCTACTATAAATAGAAAGAAATTAATTGGCCAACTAATATATATCTATAGAGAGAAAAAATTAGCCGAGCATGGTGGCACATGCCTGTAGTCCCAGCTACTCGGGAGGCTGAGGCAGGAGGATCGCTTGAGCCCAGGAGTTTGAGGTTGCTGTGAGCTAGGCTGACGCCACGGCACTCACTCTTGCCTGGGCAACAAAGTGAGACTCTGTCTCGAAAAAAAAAAAAAAAAGGTGACCTACAGCCAGGCAGGATGGTGTCCTGGCACTACCCGGGGCAGTATCTCGTGTATATTCCCTGGGGACTCCATAGTTAGGGGCCTCCCACACATACCAGGCCCAGGGACCGGAAGCTGGCTTCACTTCTTCAAGCGCTCTTTGCTATCCAAATCACTTCAGCACAGAAGTAAAACAAAGTGGGCACTAAAAGCGTCCCAGAACATTCAGCCCAACCCCAGACAAGGCCACTGATGCCCAGAGAGGGAAAGAGATTAACCCCCAAAGTTGGTGCCCTAGCTGGGGCCACTCCGTAGTAGGTCCCCCAACTCTTACCTGAACTATTGTACGACACTACAGCAAAATAATTCATAGGGACATTGTTTTGTTTTGTTTTTTTTGAAAGGTAAAATTTTACAAATGAGTGTCGGTGGCAGTAGTGGTATTATTTAGAGATACCTTTTAAAGTCAAGGCGCATTTATGGACAGTAATTTAAATCCCTTCCTGGCGATACTAGGACACAGTCCCATATGTGTGCAGAACGGATCCCTCAGCCGCACAGGCCCTCCAGGCAAGCAAACAGCCACAGGTCCCCAGGCTAGAAAGCAGATGGCCAAAGGAAGCTGCCAGAGGGAGGGACTGCTCA